ATAATGATAGTGATGATGATGGGTAATGATGATGATGATGGTGATGGTGATGATGGTTGATAATGATGCTGATGACAATGAGGGTGCTGATGATGGCGATGATGATGAATGATGATGATGATAATACTTGATAATGATCGTGATGATGATGGTTGATGCTGATGATTGGTAATGATGCTGAGGTGATGGTGATGATGATGATGATGATGATAATGATTAGTGATGACGACTAATTATGACTATTATCCGAATATCATGTTGAGATAAATAATTTTAGAAATCTAAGTATGATGTGCAATTGTAAATTAAAGCATTTAATTTTTTTTTTTCCGTTACAGAACTGGAACATCCTATAAAATCAGGTTATCGGAAAAATGATTCATTACGACGTGATCAGCATAATCGGCGACAAGATTACACGTTGGTGCAGCAATCAGTTCCAACTACTCCAATGCAAACCCGAAAAACAACTTTTCCGGATGATTTAGTTTCTACATGGGTCAAAGAACAACAATCTCTAAGTATGATCTTCTAACAATATTTCATTCATTTCAAAATCTGGCAGAAAAAAGAAGTGGTGGTCGAAATTGATTAAAGAAAAATGAAATTTAATTTTAAACTAATTACAGAAGACATACCAGATCATGCTAACAGTGAACCGATCACACAACAAAAACCAGAAGATATTTATTCATTGAAGGTAAATTCTTTTGAAATAATTAATGATTTGTTAGAAAACTATTAACTTTAATAATAACACTTTTTTTTAATCAATTAAACAAATTAGACATTTAATCAATTAGATAAATTATTCAATCAAATTAGATTTCGATTGAATTTTTTACAAAAGAAGAATGCCCAGCAAAGTTTTTTGTAAATTAAACAAAAAAAAAAAAAAAATATTCTCAAATTAACTTTAAATTGAGACAAATTTATCATTGTAGCACTCATATTCTGTACCATCAATTAATGCGAAAATCACAGATGCTAAATGTTGTCATCGTCATCGACACAAGCATTGTCATCGTCATCATCGTCATCATCATCATCACCATCATCATCATCGTCGTAAACACCGGTGATTAATTTATCATAAACTGGAATTGTGAAATTTGTTAAATTAGCAAAATTTGCTACTACCTAATTCACTATTATTTCATTTCTTAGCTCGAAAATTAAAAAATTTCAAAAAAAAGAAAACTAAAAAGTTATACTCAAAAAAAAAAGAAAAATTAAAATTTCAAAAAGTTAATTACATCAGAAAAAAGGAAGTGAAATAAACTATTTTACTAAAAGTTAGATTTGAACGCTTTTGTAAAAAGTTTGTTTATTGTAGGTCAGATTCACGACGACGTGATGATGATGATGATCACGGTGATCATCGAAGAAGTTCATCACGACATCGTTATCGTTTCCCTTCTCTAACAAGTAGTTCTGGATCAGTGAGCACTGATTACTCAGGTGATAACTATTTAATATTATAAATAAAATCTTATTATTTTAAAAATTTTATAATCTATCTGAGATAACTTTTAGAGAAATAATTTATTGAAAAATAGTATCCTATAACTAACTACAAAAAAAATAATTTTTTTTAAATTATTAATAGATTTAAAATAAAGAGAGAAATGCACTTCATATTATGTTAAATCGTTTATCTCTTTCAATGCTTACCTTTGACCTTTTAAGATGATACTGATAGACAGGAAGATTTCTTGCATGTGCTAAAAAAAAAAAAAAAAAAAAAAAAAAACTAATAGCTTAATTAATTAATCAATAATTTTGCTTAATTTTGTAGTAGTTAGTAGCGTACGCTTATAAACCGTAATACGTTATATTTTAGGTTGAAGTTTAGAATTTAATATTTGCAGATAACTCATATCTTGTTAGACGTCGATCACGAAATCTTGAAGATAGCAGTACGACAACAGATGAACATAAAATATCTGAAGGTTATTATAGGTCACTGAAGACAAAATTTGAAAATAATCACGGTGATTCTCAGCGATTTAGAGATCATCGACACGGATCACGGAAATTAAAACGTAATCAGTATGATGAGAAGAAGTTAGCATTTCATTCTTATTTCAATTAAACATTTTAATTTGATCATTCCGTTCCGGTTACGATAAAAAATGAAAATAAACATATCATTTTTTAACATCAAATAGAGTTAATATTTGATTATAACACTACATTAATCTGTCAAATAACTATTCGAATAATTTTTCAAATTATAATCGATCGATTTTTCTCTCATTTCTTCTTTCCTTTGCAAATTGATTACATTTTATATTTGAAAAACAATGTATTATCTTACAATGAATTCAATTTTTTTTAAATTGAAATTTTTATTTATTTATTTATTTTTTTTTTTTTTTGATAATTTAATCCTTAATTTATAGAAATTCCGGTAACGCTTCACCAACTGTTGCAGTACAAACAGATTCTGTACTAGCACATTGGCCTTTAGATCCACAAAAAGGATTAGCACTTCCGCAACAAATTATCATTCCACCATCAAATGGAAATATTGGCGCAGATGGTCGTCCACAACCGCAAACATATCAAATTAATTCTGAAATAAGAATTTCATATGATCAAAATGGTAGACCTCCAATATCACATGAGATTTCTGCTTTGTCCAAGAAGGTCGAGAATGAGCAACAACAATTTACTCCAGTATATCATCAATCTCGAGTTTGTTCTTTTTTTTTTTTTTTTTTTAAATATATTTTTAATTTTTTATCTGAAAATAAGATGGAAGTGTGTAGAAGTGAAATAATGTAAATAGCATTGTAGCATATATAAAAGCTTTATGTTGTTACATAGATTTTTGTTTGAAAATAATTTCACATTTGAGTTGTTTCTTTTCAGATTTAGAAATTTTAAAAAGTATGAATACTTTAAAATTTTATAATCAATGTACTGAACTGTAAGAAAAAGCAACAATTTCAGTAGCTCAATCTCATTTTATATTCCTTTCTTTTTTATTATTTTTTACATAGTTTAATAAAATAAAATTAAAAAAAAAAAAATAAAATAAAAAAATAAAATTTGATTCAAACTTTGATAGTTAAACTCATCCAATAAAACAAAAAGAAAAAAACAAGCATGCAAGAAACATTTTAAATACTAAAGCATTTTTAAATTATGCTTGAATCAACTGAGAAATGATAGTAATTCTGGTATTAATACTATTACTTGTAATGAAATGAGTAAATTCTCAAAAATACGTATAATTTCAAATGAATTGACCTATAATAATCATTTTAAAAAATTCTGCATTAATTGCTTATTTAGCTTTCCTAATTCGAAGCTTTTTAAAAATCCCAAAAAAGCATTTCTACTTCTCAAACAATAACTTTTTCTCATTTAAAATTTAATTTCAGCCTTACTCAGTCACTTCTATTGTATGAACAATAACTATTGCTATTTATTATTTACATATATTTCAATATTTCATTTGTAAGTTTTCGTTTTTTTTTTTTTTTTTTTTCTTTTTCATTCTTAAATAATTCATTTCAAATAATATAACGGAATATTTTGGGAAAAAAAGAAATAACATCAAATTGGAGGAATATTTAAAATGAACATTTATTTGTAAACGTAAATGAAACGTGTAACGTGTATTTTCTCTTCAGCAGACTTCAATTGGCATTTAAATTGGAACACGTGATAAAGAAGTGTGATAATTTGTGGTAAATAAATTTAACTTCCTATGACATTTATGTGTATAAATTAGTACAATTCTACCATTGTATTTTTGTGAATGTTAAAAATTAGTATGAAATACTCAAATTCACTTCTATATTATTAATTTTAAAATTTTTGAAAACAAAATTACTTAATTTGGTAATGGAAAAGAGAGAGAACATTTTAAAAGTTAAATCGGTCGGTGAGTGATAATGAATCAGTCAGTTCACATATATTGTATTATCATTGTTGTAAACATTGATTGTCATAATAATAAACATATATCTCTTAAATTAATAAGTTATTCTTATCAGACAAAATATTCATTCAACATGGATAGATAATTGCTTTTCTTAGTTATTTACTTCTGATTAATTAATTACCTCTAATTAATTTAATTCATTAGAGAGAAAAAATTCAGTAACGATTGTAAATAATAGTTGGAGAATATATGATGAAAACAATGATTGATTAACGTGATTACGTGATTTGAGTGATAGTTTTATTATGCATAAAAAAAATAATCTTGACGTTTTCTAAATGCAAATAGTTGATCGACTGACTAATTGATTGATTGATTGACTGACTGATTGAATGCAAAATTGTATTTCTAATTTTGAAATTAATTTTTAAAGGAAAATTTACTATATTATACACGTAAAGATTAGACAGATATCACGTATGCATATGGATTAGATAAATTACAAATTAGTGAAACGATTTAATATAAAAAAATTCTGCATGCTTTCTAGTCAACAAAAAAAAAGAAAAGGAAAAACAGAATTGAACGAACCACGTGCGAGAATGACGTCGGTTAACGTTGACCCGTGTATTAAGACGACGCACGTTGTCAACGTGTGAAACGTTCAAAATTAGAACCAACCGATTCTAGGATGAGAATTGCATAGTGTCTCATTGGATTGTTAGAAAATGGAACGCATCTGTTCGTGACAGTCTGCAAATCCGGGTGGCTCTACCGGAATGGATAACGGTATTAGTGTGTATGTGTGTGTGTGTACGGTTGGTGCTGTAGCGGATTACCGTGGGTCCGGTGGATACTGTAGGCATAAAATGATATTCGAAATGAATTATTGAAGTATGAACAAATAGGTAGCATTATGTAATGTTGATAATATTTTTTTCAATGGAATTAATTAACTTAATTAATGAATGGAATTAGATTCATGTATGTCATTAAATTGATTATTGTAAATAAAGTTTAAACGAATATGCTGCTAATTTGCATAAATTTATTTCATCAGGTTAATTGGCTTACACGAAAAAGAAGGCTATTTTATGAGATAATGTTGAATTTGAATTTACATTGGTGGCCGCTTCTAATAAATTTAGTGTTAATTATCAATGGAAAATTGGAAGAAAAACATGTGGATAAACACAATGAACAGCATCATCATTTTAATGTTAGTGATTTGAATGACGAAAAGCATAAAGCATATGATGATCACGATGATATATTCGGAGCGAAAATGTGTAAGACTTTTAATGCTTCCATTAAGCTACATTACTCTTTTAATTTTTTTCACTTAAACTAAGCAAAAGAATCTTATATGCGCTAATTTATTTTCCAAATCCAGTACTAATTAAAAAGATGTCATACTTTGCCTCTGAATTTCATCTTTTTTTTTTTGTATAATATGTTATGCTGTTTAAGCCGAATAAAATTTTGCATAAAGAAACTAAAAATTATAGATACTAGCTGATATGTGTTAGCTGAAACATCAAATTATCCACTGTAGAAATTGATTAAATTTGCAGGTAATTAGCTTTGTTGGATTCATCGAAAAAATGATATCGTTATTAAAATTCATTTAGAAATATTAAAAATAATATTTTTTAGATAGAACGCTTTTTTCGGTGAAACGTCGTGAACATTTAAATGCAGTGAAAAGCTTAATGGCTTTGGATGAGAAGAAACGGGAGAAACTTCTTCTTGAACTAGTGCTTAACATCATTAAAGTTAACGTTGCTTAAATTTTGAAAAATCTATCATCTTACACATAAATGTTTTGCTTTATTCCGTGTGAGTGAATTTTGAGTGAAACAGAATTGCATTAATTAATTTGTTACCTTAAATTTTACAAATTTTGTTTGAATTAGATTCTTTTGCTTAGTTTAAGTTCTGGCGACATGTACAGACTGAAACTGTTGGAATTAGAGACGAAAGTGAAGAAGAAATGTTTGTGAGATGAAGTTTGTTTTGTTTAGTTCTTTTTTCACTGTTTTTGTGTTACAAAAGGGTTTCACTAAGAGTAGATTCTGAGCACTGAATAATTACCGAAATAAGGATTTTTCATAAGGTATTTTTTGGTGGTTTTTTTGCGAAACTAATTACAAAGCTATGTTAGAGAATTTGTAATCTTGTGTAATGTGGAAAAATACAAAATTAACTATAGGTCATGGGTAATGCAAAAATTGTTATTGAAAAAGCCAACTTCAACCCAAATGACACATTCCCTAGTGAAGAACAGAGCAGTTTGAGGGATGCTATTGGAAATATTGTCGAAAATACAGCTTTTTACAGCAATTTGGTACTGTATTTTCCTACAGTACTGCTCGACAGGTAGAAATTAATCTACTTTGTTTTGCAGATTGTTATGCACATTCGATTTGCAAAATTTTGAATGTTTTTAAACTTTTAATCTTTTTGTTATTTTAAAATCCTGATTTTTTAAAATTTATTTTGCTGTTTTAGTAAGAAAGGAAAAGAGAATAGCAATAGAAATTTATCTAGCTTCTCCAATTTTTTTAAAGATGATCGGCGTGGCGCACATTAGACGATATTTTAGATACTTTTATTGGAAGTATACTGAGTAAAAGAACTTTATCTTGAAGAACTGGTTTTTTGATTACAGAGATGAAATTTTCTGAATTACTTTATGTTTTAATTGAAGTAGGATTTTTTTGAAATTTTATTTCACTTACCAACATATTTCAGATATAAAAAGGATATTGATTGGCAATTGCTCTTTGCTTGGGCTTATAAATTTACAATAACGTCACGATTGCATGATGACGTCGCGGAAAAATTGTTGGATTTGGCTGGACAACAGTTAGAAATCATTCCAAGGTTATTTGATTTTATTGTGTAGAAAATCTTCTTTTTCGGGCAAATGAAATAATTTGTGGAAATAATTTAGTTGTTGTGATTGAATAGTTGTTGCTTTACATCCATATGTTAAAACATCTGTTACAATATAATAATGAATGCTTAGTGCCATGTAACGTATACTCCAGGACAGTGGAATAGTTTGCAACAATCATAAAGACTTCGCCAACAGAAAAGTTGTTCTAAACTTTATTTTGTTTTGAAATTTTAGGCGAGATGATTTCCACAATCCGTATGATAGAAAAGCGATAAAGGAAGAATTGCAACTGGAATCATTACGGAAAATGGAAGAAGCGATAAGGAAAAAACAAGAACAAAAAAAATTGGACCGCAAAAAAAAGAAAACGAAGAAACCATCATTATCGAGGACTGAACTATAATCCTATTATTATCGTTTTGCTTTGTAAGCCCTTTGTTGTGATTCTTTTGAACTTATTTTTATGTTCTTAAAAGGTCTGCAGAAAATAAACACTGATGGAAATTTTTTTATTAAATATAAGTTTAAATTAGGATTCAGATTGTTTTCAGAAATGTCGGAAGAGAATGATCCACTTTTAGTCTTCTTCTCTATTATTGCACAACTGAGGCGCTTAAATTTGGATTTTTAAAATCAGAATGGATAAGAAGTTAGTTTTCTTTTAAATAAGGATTACTGGAATATCCAAATCTTTGTAAGCTTGTTTGTTTATTCGTAGTTGTTTATTCGGGTTATTTGAACTTCGAGTATTGATTTAGCTGGAAATTAGGGAATATAATGCAATATGAATATCTCGAATTCTCCGAACGAGACTAGGCTTAAAGTTCCGTCTTAATATTTTGTTAGTACTGCTCTTCATAAATTTATATGTTAATAAGTAGTGCAGTATATTTTTAGTAAATAATGTGGTTATATTTATCCGATTTTAATAACTGAAGTTAATTGTCCATAATTTTTCAAAACTAATCTGTAAGTATTCATAAAGTACTGTTCCTTCCTGTTCCCGATTAATTATTATTATTTTTTTTAATTATAAAGTAAAGATAAAATGAGTGGAATGATGAAAATGTACTCTTTAATTGTTAGTTCATTGAAAATCCTTACTCTTTCAGCATAAAAATTGCTGATATTCATTGCTTTTCGTAAGAACTTTCTAACGTTTTTGTGAATATAATTCTTTGAATTTTGCTCATTCATTATTTTGTAAGTATGTTTGTTCATTTCTTATTTTTCTTTTTCTGTTATTTATTGATGATTTTTTTTTTCTGGTGATTATATGCAATTTTATGCACTTTCCATTTTTATTGTACAAATTGCTTCAAGATAGACACGAAAAGTGGATAATGTGGAGTAAAAAAAGTTATGCAGGAATATTGAGTTTACAGTGTTTAAGGTAGATTTCTCAACAAATATTGTAAAGGATAAGTGTGAGATAAGTTTAAATAAAAGAAATATAAAAAACGGAATAAAGTTTAGGAGTTTAGGATATGTTATTATACCGTTTCAAAAACAAGACATTTATTTTAAATTATGATGTAAGTGTTTAAATCATTCGAAAATTTTCAATGATATTGTATGTGTACATTTTATTTCATTTTATTACAGCATGAAGCACACTTAATTTTGCCATTGCTATGTCGTATTAATTTTTGTTTCGAAATACTATTAATGAGAAGTGAATTTTGTCGTTTTACTGGTACTATCACCGAATGAATGAATTCCTGTTCATTACTGATAGTTTCAAAGAAAATAAGGAATTTTCATATCCTTGAAGTTTTATTTGAATATATATATTGTAGATGAAGCATATTTTCAGATGAATTAAATGTACTTTCATTTATATTGCTTTATTCAATAATGGCAGAATTTCCAGAACTAGGCAAAAATTGTTCGCTAGAAGCTTGTAAAAAACTCGGTTAGTTAATTACTATTGTTTTTCATTTTTAAATTATGATAATTGTTATTCTGTAATTTTGACTTACAAAGTTTTTTAGAAAGAAATTACATTTCTATAGTAATAGCAGAATTCTAATTTGATATGTTTGAAGCACTGATGAATTCAATTTTTCAGATTTCACACCTTTCTTTTGCAACATTTGCGAAAATTATTTCTGGTGTGTTTTTTTCTTTTCTTTAAATTTTTATAAGATTTTTGGTTTGGTAATGTAGCATTTATTTAAGAATAATTGTATCAAAGATACACTAGCTTTCTTGTTAAAAGATTTTTGAAAACGAAATTCGGTTGAAATATATGATTATTATTCATTTAGCGATGGACATCGGTTCAATCATGGATGTCAGTTTAAAAATATGAATGTTGAACAATTAGCAGCAACTAGTTGTGACGGTAGTAAGCCACTAAAGTCATTTTTATGTTCAATGAATAGCTGTTTCACGTGTGAAATCATCAGAATTGATTGTCAGCGTTGTGGATTGAATTTCTGTCTGAAGTAAGTAAGCATCAGAAGACCAGATTTAAAATTTTTTCTGTAGAAGGACAATGAGGAATACAGTTGTTTGAATCTATTAAACCAATTTATAAAGTTTGTTTGCAAAACTATACTTATTCTTCAAATAACTATTTTCTTCCTATTATTAATGTATTTTGATTTTTTTTTTTTTTTTTTTCATATTTCTATGGAAATCTTTTCATTAAAATTGATGCAGGCATCGTTATCCAGAAGAACATCAATGCGGTACTCAAACTGTTAAGAATAAACAAATTAACGATGGTTATCAGGAAGAATTGAAAGAAAAGTTGTCAATGATTATTGCTGCTGATAAAATGGACATTGCTGAAACAAGTATCATTTCTTCACCACCGCAGAAGGAGAAATCGGTTTATTTTTGTCTTCAATTAATACTTGCAATAATAAATTTGCGAAATGCTACAACTTTACTGAAAGTTATGAATGTTTTAGGAAAACAAACCAAAATCTTTTATAAGCTTATTACTTCTTAATTGTTTGATATTAAAAGAAGAAATGTTGTGATGGAGCATCTAATGTCGTTATAGTCATAATTAAAATTAAGGAAAATTTATGTTAAGAGTTTGAAGTTATTCTTTTTTGAAATTTATCGTTGTAGATGGATGAAGCGATGCAAAGAAGAGCTGATCGAATAGCAGTAATGCGTCTTAAATCAAATACTCGAAATTTTAGTGTAAACTTTTATGAATGAATGTTATAATTTTTCTTCGAAGTATACGTATGTATGTAACTTTTGTCTTCATATTTCATTCATTTTAACAAAATCATTGATTATTTTCTTCCATTAGAGCTTTCATGATGACAAACACGTTTTTATTGCAGAATTAGCGTTATTCATTATGAATTTTATCGTAATTATTTTAATTAATTACAGATTAAGTTTTTGTTACAGATTCCACCTGCTGAGCAAATGTTTTTATTCGTTGTGGAAAATCAAAAGCGTGAGCCAGTTATGGTTTCCAAAGTATGTTTTATATAGAACTTTTTGATAGTGTTATTCTAAGTGTTATCTAAAGTCGTTTTTTTAAGGAATCTGAACATATCAGAAATTCATATTTAATAACATTTTTGTCCGAATTTTTAGCATAATGTTTCTCTAGACGTTGTTTTATAGCGCTGGACAATAGGACGTTGTCTTGATCAAATTACTAGGCAGCATTCGATCTCGAATAACAATGCAACCTTTGGGACTAAAGTATCATTTTCGAGAATTTAAGCAAAATTTCTTGGAATTAGATGTAAGATGTGTAAGTTGAAGCTGAATATTAGCTCATTCCGTTTCTTTTAAGAAAAAGAATAATTTTGTGTAATGTTCATATAATTAATAATAAATTAAAACTTAAAAGGAAAGAAATTATTTTATGTAATGTTCTTATGATTAATAATAAATGAATCGTTTCATCTACTGTATTTTAGATACTACGATTGTATTGTGACACGGATCACTTGAATCCTTTACCGATGGATGGTAATGTCGAGAAATATTTGAAAGATTTTTCTAACGTTTTCTTCAAGAGAGATGAGTGAAAGTTGTATGGTGTCTAAGTAAAACTATTCCGCAGGTGGACTTGGCTTACTGTCGTTAGACAAAAAAGATTGCTTTGAAAAATTGTTCAAGTCTACTGCATATCTCTGTCATAGATGTCTAATGAATGGTTTGGTGACATTTTATCAATCAGTAGCTGATTATATAAAAGTTTAGTTATTTTATATGGATAATATAAATGCGGGTCAATATGAAATGCTATTATGTTTGTTAAAAGATGATAAAAATGATTATGTCGCAATAAAATGGATGAATCCATTATTCACATATTTCTGTGAGCTCGTTCAACGTTATTTATAAATGATATTTTGAACTTGTAGGACATTTTGTTAAAATATAGATTAATGTAAAAGAAAAAAGGGTTTTGGTATTTTAATGAAATTAGTACATTTCATTCAAATTGTGTGCTTAATCTTGAGTATTAGTAACCATATTTGATTGTATATGTATGCATGTATAGATGAGATATGTCAGGTTACGTCTGATTTGATGTTGTATAAGACGTAAGTAACGCATGGTGTTATACTTGAATGTTACTGGTTTAGTTGATGATTTATAAAGTTAATGTCATGAGTGTTTTCTGTGGTGAAAGTTTACTTTGTCGTTCTAGTAATAAAGAAATTAGATTTAGATATATCGTATTTTAAATTATAAGTGTCTGTTTACACACTGATAGAGTTAACCTTTAGGTAATGTTACGGATTCTTTGATTTGATCAAGAAGTGAAACTCAGAGCTGACTTGAAATCTATTCATTTACAGGATGGCACCACTAATTAAATTATCTAGATGTTTTTATTCTTATAATGCTATTTCATCGGCTGCAATATTAGCTAGGCGATTTTCCTCAGCGCCAGATTTCGATGCATTAGCTCAAAAAATTCAGCAATGGAAAGAGAAGTCAACCGTTGACAACAGCGATAATGATGAGATTTCATCTGCTGATAAAATAATTGAGAAAAGAGCATGGATGAGGTAAAGTTTATTAACAGTGTAAATTATGTGAAATTTATTAATAATCTAAATTCAGTTATGATATTATTCGTCTCTTTTGTTTAAATCATATATTTGTTTGAGTTATCAAAAATAATTCAAATTTTGAGTTATATTTTAGTTTAAAATAATTTAAAAACATAGCAATTCAGGTCTTTAATTCTCAGTATGTTACAATATTTGCACGAGTTAAGTTTCGTACTGTTTTTAATGAGAATTATTCCAATTTACAGTGCTCCATTGGTGTATTGCGATGGTTCATTTGACTGGACATTGAGAAAAGGCGGTATTGGAATATTTTGGAGTCCAAACGATGAACGTAATGCTCATCTTTCACTTACAGGATCGAAACTGACTAATATTAGGGCTGAAATACAAGCAGTTAGCTTGGCTGCTTTACAGGTTAGTGCATCATTTGCATGATTAGTTTTTTTTTTTTTTTTTTTTTTGATATTTTGTCGTAGTTTAATTCAGTTTCTTGTCTCATTTTTATAGCAATATAGTTTCTTTGTTATCTCTATATTTGATTTCTCCATTGTTTTCTTATTTTTCACACATGACAGCAGTAGAATTATAACAAAGTAATTTTTGAGTGTTACCTTATTTTTATTATTAAAATAACTATAAGAATTATGAAATTATTTGATTGTTGCGAATTTACTGTTTTTTTTTTTTCAGGCTTGTTCTCTAAATTTTGATCGAATCATTATCAAAACAGATTCGCAATTTGTGGTGAAAGTGATTAACTCATGGTTATCCAGATGGCGTTCCAATGAATGGAAGAAAGCAGATGGAAAACAGATTGAAAATATGGATGATATCCAGAAACTTAGCCGTTATACTGAAATGATAAAAGTATACTAAAATTTTTTTTCTCGATTATTTCATTTTTTGAGAGCAGATTTCTAAACGATTCTTCCTTTTTCTTTTTTTTTTCTTGGATGATTATGTGATACAATAAAGATAGAAATTAAAAAGGCAATGCTTGAGTTCCAGTAGTAGAATGGTTTTGCTCTTTCTTCACGTTTCTGTTCTCCTACTGTAATTTGATTTGAATTTTTATATTTTTGCAAATGGTCGTTAAATGTCAAATCTTTCTAGATGCGTGTGGAACATACATACGGACATCAAAAATACGATGAAAGGAAAGAATTGGAGGAGAGCTGGGATGCAATGTCATGTGATGAAAGAGATCGTTGTGGAAATTTTCATAGCGATCGGTTATCGAGATTAGCTGTTGATCAACCGATGATGACAGATGAACAGTTTGAGGAATTATGTAAAGCTAAACTTGACAAACGTTGCAGTTGATTTTTTCTTTTTGCATTGATAAATTCGTTTACAAAATTAACTTATGTACTTGTTTTTTAATTTCAAAAAGGAAAGAGAATTGGTTTTTTATCCTGGAAAGCTGAGAAACAGATTATCTTCTCCTATATCTAACTTCATAGTCATTAACGATACCACTGAAGACTATGAAATGTGAAAATAAAAGATCAAAAAGCAGTTGACATATTATTTCCAGATGTGGAAATCTTACTGAAAATTGATATTCTCTATCCATGATTTTTTGTTTTTTTTTTTTTGTTGTTTTTCATCCAATTGTTTTATATGGTAAAATATCGCAAGCGTTTAAGGTCTTCTCAGGACTTTATAATGCAAATGCTCATTTTTTATATAGATTTATATGTGGCAAAAAAAAAATTTTTCGAAATAAAGAACGGTAATATTTTGCTATTGTTACAGTAGATATTTTAAATCATGTTCACCAGATGTCTGTTTTAATGCAGAATGTACTATCCAGTTGGATTTTCTTCAGTTGGATATAGATAATAACTATTTGCATAACACTATCCGTTTTTCTCAGCACTAATCTACCTGCAAGCTAGACAAAACAAGAATCAATATACAAAGCCGGTAACAAGGAAAGATTCGAAATGACATGACACATTCTCTGTTTCTTCGATAGATGCAATTTCTTTAAGCATCTGCTGCTGGAAGTTTTTAAATAGATAATATGCTATTATGTCCAAGTATCTAACGCATTAAATCTTTACGTAATACAAGTACACGACTTATGTTATACCCTTATTACCACATATCAGACATATAATGCAAACTATAAACAGAAACATTATGTTTTATTAAAATTGCAGGATAATAATTCATTAAATAAACAATAATGACAATGACAAGGACTGATCTTCAAATTTCTACATAACAACCAAGTTATATGGGTTGTTCATCCCGAAACATTGGGCATAAAATGTAAGCTTAAACATTACTGTGCCATAAAATGTAGCTGCAAAAATAACTGAACTGAGAGTGAGTGAGAGAGAGGATATAATTTACTTGTCGGTAAGATCAGGTGAGAGTGATTCCATCATTTGATCAAGTTTCTGTTCAAGAATTGGTACAATTTCTTTATCGACCAAAATATGTGTTTCGTCCAGCTCTTTCACCACAAACTTTGATCCTAACGTACGTGACTCATCGAGATACACTAGCAATTGACGCATTGCAGGATCACAACGTACCAATACACCTTTCTTCACATTCACCATTCTTCTCTCTTTAATCGTACTTTCTGCAAACTTTTGATAATTTGAATTTTCAAAAAAGAAAAAATCATTTAAATTATTAAGAATAATTTCGTTTAAAAAACAAAGAATAAGTAAAATAAAATCATCCAATATTAACTACTAGAGCTAACAATATCTAACTGAATCGGAAAAAGACTTAATCCAGCTAGCATCAGGTTAACCGGAAATGAAACTAAATTTGTAGAGGATATGAAGGATTTTTTTTTTGCGCTGTTTTGTTACACGGTGGTAGGGTAGATATTAAGCAGAAGGAGGAATATCTATGAATAAAACTGTTGTAGAAAACTGGATTTGAGATTTTTTATGGGTTATTTATGGTAAATTTCTAACAGTTATTTATGATAAAATTTAGTTTATATAATTATTTGTGATAAAATTTGGATTATTTGTGATAAGTTTCTAACACTTATTTATGACAAAGTTTGGTTTATATAATTATTTGTGATAAATTTCCAACATTTATTTATGATATAATTTGATTTATATAATTATTTGTGATAAAATTTGGTTTATATAATTATTTGTGATAAATTTCCAACATTTATTTATGATATAATTTGATTTATATAATTATTTGTGATAAAATTTGGTTTATATAATTATTTGTGATAAATTTCCAACATTTATTTATGATATAATTTGATTTATATAATTATTTGTGATAAAATTTGGTTTATATATTTATTTGTGATAAATTTCCAACATTTATTTATGATATAATTTGATTTATATAATTATTTGTGATAAAATTTGGTTTATATAATTATTTGTGATAAATTTCCAACATTTATTGATGATATAATTTGATTTATATAATTATTTGTGATAAAATTTGGTTTATATATTTATTTGTGATAAATTTCTAACACTTATTTACGATATAATTTGGTTTATATAATTATTTGTGATAAAATTTGGTTTATATAATTATTTGTGATAAATTTCCAACATTTATTGATGATATAATTTGATTTATATAATTATTTGTGATAAAATTTGGTTTATATATTTATTTGTGATAAATTTCTAACACTTATTTACGATATAATTTGGTTTATATAATTATTTATGATAAAATTTGGTTTATATATTTATTTGTGATGAAATTTTGGATCATATTATTTACGATAAAATTTTGATTATTTGTGATAATTTTGTTCCTAAGACATTTTTGTATATTGGAGGAAAAGAAGGACAAAAAAAAAAAATTTATTTTTCTGTAGTTCTATCCTTTCTCTGAAAGAAAAAATGATATATTTGTGATCATCCAGCGATATGATCACCCATATTTTTTAGCATTATAAAGATAAATAATGAGCTCATATCTTCCAGAAATTATTACTTATCTAATGTACTAAATTTTTCCATTACTTTTGCTATTACCTATCATATTTGTTTAATATTTTTGAATGTTTGATATTTTCAAAAGCAATATGAATTGTTATTCCCACTTTTTTTTTTTTTTTTTTTTGCAACTATCGATAATTTACATACGTTTTATTTTATGTATTAATTAACTTTTTTTGTGAGTTTATTTCTGAGATAATCATAGAACGATAGAATAGCCTTTGCAGTAATTCATGAAATATTGATTGAATGAATAGAAAAATTTTTGTATTTTGTTTTTACCCATTCATAATATCATTTCTTTTGGATTATTCATCCTCTTGCTCGGAATATGGTAAAAATATAGGAAATGAAGTAGACATTTTTTTTCTTTGTATTTTTAATTTTTTCATGATTGTAAATTGTACAAAGTTAGAAAAAATTAGATGAACAATATGAGGATTAAAATTTTCGAATTTCAGGAAAACACTTTATCAATGCCAATGGATATGGGAAAAGGAGAAGGTAAAAGGAATACTTCTTACTTGCTTTTTTTTTTTTTGACGTGGTTAAAATAAAGGTTGAAATGCACCATTATGTGAATAAATGTGTTTTAAGGTGATAAACTTCAATTTCTTCAATTCCTACTCATTTTAAGCTACTTTTCTGTTTCATTAGAGATGCAGTTTAGTTGTCATCTTTATGCAATTTTTTGCAATTTGAAAATTTTTTAGATTTCAAATTTTAAAATTAATCTCTTTTGCATTATAAAATGTTGTGGACTTTTATTATGTGATAGGTTAATAAATAATAATGTCTAGTACTACAGTGTTTACTTTCTGTAAGATAAATGAAATTAAGTTATTCTTGGATTATGCCAGAGATTTATTTAATTCATTCATTCGGTTCAATTGATTCAGCTTCAATTATTTCATCTTAGGATGGCATTTTGGTATCATTCGATTTAAGAAATATTTCATTTTTAGTATAAGATGGAAAAAGAAAAGTGTGTCAGATCGTTTACTTTTATTAACTGTTTAGTGTTTGCTGTTATCATCTTAATAAGTATTTTTAGTATTTTTACTGTTTTGATGTGATCGTAAAACTGAAATTGATCGAATTTTAACAGTTAGTTATTCAAAAATTCAATGTTTATGAAAAATGACTAAAGTTGAAATTGATGTGAAGATAGAATAATGAAAAAGTCATATTGAATTTAAGATATATGATGATGGATTATTTGAAAGATGACCTTTACATTATTAGCCATCTATTGCAATAACTTTTCAAACAGTTCACCTAATCTTTCATCTGTATTTTACTATTGATAATTTTATTTTCTCATCTATCTTAAACATCTCTTCTATCTGTTAATTACCATAAACATATGTTCTTTTCCAGTGATTCGAATACACTTCCTAATCATTCGCATTCCCTAATACTAAAATTATTATAATGAAAAAATTATTCACAAGCTATAGCTATCTATCAAAAATGAACTGTCATCATATTATGCAGCGATACTTTTCGCAAAATAATTTTAACGGTCAGTTAGGTTTCGCATTATTATTATTATAGTGTGACGACCTAACCGAGTAATACTAATGTCAACAAACTATTGTTTATCACAGAATGATTTATTTAATTCATATATTTGTACTGCTAATATTTTTATTTAATTAATTCTAGATATTATGACAATTTTTTGTATCCATAATTATGATTGCGATAGTGGATTATTAAATGATACCATAAAAAAATCTATCTAATCTTTTAATTCTTTTTTTTTTTTTTTTTTTTCATTCATTTGAGAATGATTTAACATTAATGTTAATCTGATTTTTCTTTTTTAATTTTTACATTTAGTTAAATAAATGTATAAAGGATAAAATGTGTTATTTTTGAGGACATATCAATAAGCTGGAAAAAGGATGGACACCTGGTATACCATATGAAGTAAATGGAGATATACCACTTGTAATTTATACATCAAATTGTTCCAAACTTCGAGTTGCTATTGCTGAAACACCGGGACCACTTGTTAAAGGCCTTATATCATTTGGTTAACTTTATTTTAACTTCAATATCAGTTTGTCAGTAATAAGTTGTTTATTGGTTAAAAAAAAATTTTTGTAAACTATTTTATACTAAATGTTAATCGATTATAATTCTTACCTATCAGACTACTTATTAAACTTTTTTTAACTGATTGAAAGAAAAGTTTACTTAATGGAATTTTTCAAAAAGAAAACTTGTCTGTTTGTCTGTATAGTCAGCACTGAAATGTTTGAAATGTTTAGTAACAGAAGCACTCGATAACAATGGTTTACCTCACACCTTGGAACATCTTATTTTTATGGGTAGTAAAAAATATCCATACAA